AGGGAAAAATAATGAGGATAAAGTCAGGGTGGGAACACTAAATGATATATTTTCTTTCTTCTGTTTTTGAGATGGTGGTGATGATTACATTACACCCGTCCTTTAATATACCAAAAGCACTGAAATGATGACAGTATTAGAAAATTTACTGTGGTGATGTTTGCACATGTCTTTCTGAATCCCAGCTACCTCTGAATTGTGCACTTGAAATGGATAGCTTGTGTGCTTTATGGATATTGTCTCAAGAAAGCTGATTGGGGCGGGGGTTTTGGTGGTTTTTTCCTAAGTAACAAGGGAGAAAAGTTAGATTCCCTAGAAATGAGCAATTAAACTGATATAAACTGACAGCAAACTTTCCATGCATAAGACGCTAAGAAAAAAAAATGGATGGGCTTTTCAAGACAATATTTTCAGGAAAGAAGTGTCAGCTTAGAATTCTGTAGCAGCCTAAGCTGTCATTCAGATCTTCTTGTGGTCGTGGTTACTTGTCATGGAATCAATTCTGATTTGTGATGCCCTCGTGTGTAGAATAAAAGAGACGTTTTCAACAAAGGAAGACTACCAGAGTTCATCTCAGTGGCAGAATTACCACTGAGCTTCAGCAAAAAAGAAATTTAACATACGAGGGGAAATCAGATGCAGGCAGCAATGATGAGCAAAATATTGCTAAATCTATAAAAGCGTCTACTCCAAAAATAACAAAGGCATTCCGCTTCTGGTAGTGACTGAGTGAGCTTCTTATAGGACTCATCTTTCTGCCAATTTAAAAAAATATGATTTCTGGACGAAACCCAAACATTGAAAGCTTTGTCGTGCAGGACCTCTGTAATCCATAGCTGAATAGACAGTCGAGAGACATGGACCGTTAGAAGACATTAACTCAGTTCCCTGTTTTCAAGGTGTTTCTCTTGAGCACGTCCTGGGCTGCATCGTATAGTGTGAACAGAACTCCAATAAACAAGAGTGAGAATCACATTTGCAGCTGAATATCAAAGCTGAGTTAAAACACTATCAGTAACAGCAAAGAACAACAAAGTAAACTGCACGGAGGGAAACAAAACTCCTGTGGTGATGTTGATGAGAGGAAAATTGTTAACTTTAGGCCTTAATCTAAAGTCTGCATGTTAATATTTTATGGCTACCGTCTAAAAAAGTGGAAAAGAATGAAATGCCACAGCATGATGGGGGGAAATGAAGAAGATTAATGAGTCTAATTGAAAGTTGTGTTGTTGTTGTTGCCATTGAGTTGGAACTGACTCAAAGTTGACCCTCCAGTGGGTTTTCAGAGGCGGTAATCACGCAGGAGGAGACCGCCCGTCCATATAGCTGGTGGATTTGCACCGTGTGCCTTTGGGATTGCAGCACAGCTTCTTCTCAAAGAAACAAAGAGCCAAGTTAATGATATGAAAGAACATGTTGTTATGTTGTCGTTAAGAGCTGTCGAGTCGCAGGCGACTCATAGCGACCCTATGAAGGAGAGTCCTCAACGCTTGGGTGTCTCTCATCCTCTCTCCAGGTTCACAGGGTTTCCAGAGGCAAGCTACTAGTGGTAATAAATCCAAATACATCAGTAATCTTAACGTAAATTATATCTGAAGAAGTGATGCAGATATCAAAATTGATGGTGTAAAAGGTCATAGTGATAATCCAAAAGTCTTAGTATAGGTTATAACCATCAGACAAATAGATATTAAGAGGGAAAAGGGGATTACTGGGGATAAAGAGACTAGCTATATGCCATCCGCAGAGAAACAGTTCTTTGAGTTTGTAATTTCTGAGGGGCCCACACAGCTAAGCACTTGACTTAAACTCAACAGTCTACATCATGGACGGTTGTTGTTGTTATGTGCCGTCGAGTCATTTGCGACTCTTATCGACCCTATGTACAACAGTCCTAAACCCTGCTCTGTCCTGTGCCAATCGCACTGTCTCTGACACTCCCATCCCGATTACCCCAGTCACTGAATCAGTCCATCATGGATGGAGCCAGGGTGAATTGCACAGTATCAAAATGGAAAAAGAAATCATGTTTCTGTGACTCTGGGCTTTGTTATTGTTGTTGTTTATTGGGAGAAAATGAAGAAGAGTAATGAGTCTAATTGAAAGTTGTGTTGTTGTTGTTGTTGTTGTTGTTGCTGTTGAGTTGGAACTGACTCACAGTTAACCCTCCAGTGGGTTTTCAGAGGCAGTTAATCAATCACACAGGAGGAAATTGCCCATCTTTCTCCCACAGAGCAGCTGGTGGATTCGAACCGTGTACCTTTGGGATTGCAGCACGGCTTTCAGAGTAAACTATTACTTCTAGTCCGTTCTTTCCCAGGCTCTGGGTCTCTTTCAGGTTATACCTTACCCCTCTCCTCCTTCAGACGAAGGACAGAGTAGGGAGTTCTGGTGGCATAGTCTGCACTGAGTTGAACTTTCCACCCAAAGACCAGAAGTCTCCGGCAGTTCGAATCCACCAGCTGCTCTGAGGGAGGCAGCTGGGCAGGGTCAGAATCCCATGGAGGGCCAGCTAAGGAGTCAAAACCAACTTGACAGCCAGTCCACCAACAAACGTTGTGATGGGATAAGGGGGCTAAAACATACACACAAACAAACAAACAAACCACTTGGCGGCTGAGTGAGAGAGTGTGAGTGGAGACAGGTGTGTGGCACTTGACGTTCTGTGCTCCTGTGGATGGATGACTGTGCGACCAGGATATTCCGTAGAAGCTGCGGGGACAAAGGGCCGATGCTGCCCGTACGCTTTATCCTCCGTCTCCAGTCCCTCGGACCTGCCTGATCACCCATCGAATCTGCATTGACTCAAATTTACTTGAAAACTTACAAAATCCTCAGAATGCATTAGTCTCCAGGGATGTCAAATAGGGCCAGGCCAACAGTGGTGTATCTGTGGGAAGTGGCACTTGTGGAAGACACTGAAATTGTGTCCCAGACCAAGCATAGGACACCCATCTTTTAGATGCTCTTACTGTAATATCAGCGCAAAAAGAACAAGGCAAACACATCAGTCTTTTACTTAACACATGTTGGCACGACGCAGGAATTACGGCTCCGTCTTCTTTGTTTCCTTTGATGAAAATTGGTCTTGGATGTGCTCAAAGTAGCTCTTCTCCAGTTTCTTCTGTTTCTGCGCTCAAATAGAGCAAGATCACCTAGCCTGCCTTGACCCATGGAAGCACAGATACAAATGTATTAGTTTTAACTTGCTGGACGATCTCACAGCTGGCACTGGAAATTGATGCTTCTAAGAAACTGCTGGGTAGTACTCCCGCCTCGCAGGTGACATCTCTACCTCTGCAGGATACTATTGCTCATATTCCCTGCAAACATGTTCTGCAGATTAATGTTGTCACATAATTGCTATCTGCTCCTTTTTAAAAGGCATTAACTAAATTAAGGGCTTTCTTTTCCAAGGATGTGCTTAGTTCTATAATAATTTGTATCTCTGGCTGGCTTCTGAGCTATTAAAAGGTTTGTCATGCTTTCTTGTAGAGCATAAGGGTTTTGGAAGTACACAGAGCTGGTCCACCATCCCTGTTCCTCTCTGGATGTTGTGTCAAGCCATTGTGGCCCCAGAGTGTGCTTGTGACAAGGAACTCCAAGGGTTCTTGGCCTCCGGGAGAGACAGGGTGGTCACTGGCTGGACAAATGAGCTCTGACTTGCTGTGCTTTTCTCTTCTCCTCGCCCCTGCAACACCAGTGAGATGAAGCAGAAGCTGGACGAGGAAGGCAGCAAGTGTAGCATCCTCTCCAAGCACCAGAAGTTCGTGGAGCACTGCTGCATGCGCTGCTGCTCGCCCTTCACCTTCCTCATCAACTCCAAGCGCCGCTGTGGGGACTGCAAGTTCAACGTCTGTAAGAGCTGCTGCTCCTTCCAGAAGCAGGACAAGGTGTGGATCTGCTGTGTCTGCCAGCAGGCCAGGTGAGTGTTCCTAGGAGGCTGCAGCTGGAGGCGCCCACCACTTTCTACCATCAGATAGGATGGGCTGTGATGGGTTGACTGGAGCACAGGGTGTGACCTGCAGGAAAGAGGTTGTGGACATGAGACATGGGCCACATACTGACCTGCTCATGCAGTGAGAGAGGGGGCAACAAGAGACTACCTGGGTACCAGTGGGAAGGAGAGGTGTGGACAGTCTTGGAATTGAAAGTAGTATTTATTCCATACATGCTGACTCTCTCCTTTCCACATTTCTCCTCAAGGCTCGTTCATTCATTCCACAAACAATGTTGAAATCTTAGAAATAATGCTGGGTGTGGAGAAATGATGGTGGATTGGGCAGATTACTTAGGACTCAGATGCTTAAGGGTATATATGAAGGCTGGTCCTGGGGATACGGCCCCTAACTAATTCATCCTTTAACTGAGGAAAGAGTCCCCAGCTCTATCTAAGGGGACTGGCAAAAAGTTTTGTGGCAAATAAGTAAAAAACAGTATTGTGAAAGGTAAAAAGAAGTTAAAATAGTTAATTATGTGAAAAGGAATTTAAAGATTCCATGTGAACTTGAAGACTGTTTGCTAGACCATTTGGAGATGCACAGAAATCGTATCAACATTTTCCCAAAGCAGCTGATGGGTCATTTCTTTGTTTATGAATACATTGAATGTTTGAAAATTGTTGAGTTAATAAACTGGAGTCTGATATTTGTCACTTGGAATAATTACATTTTCACTGGTACCAGCATCGTGATGACTCAGATGTCTCGCCACTCCCGAGAGCTGAGCAGTATAGCTGAGTATAGCTGAGACTGGGTGCTTCCAGCCTGGTACCAACACGCAGCCACCACAGGATGGCAAGCTGACAGATGCGTGGTGGTGTGATGTGGAGGTTAGGACACTTAAAATGCAGGGATCAAAATAGTGTATCCTAGATTCTAGAAGAGGTAAAGACAAACGGGTTACAAGTGAAAGAAAACAGAGGGCTGAGTAAGCTTTAGGTTGTGAGGTAAAGAGTTCAACAGTGGGGCTACTTGTTGAAGCAAATTGGAAGAAAACCTTTGTGTCAGGAAAATGGTGTCTAAATTGGGAATTTCAAAAGTGGACCAATAGAGGGGTAACCATGGGAGTTGGAAGCCCAGAATAGAGGAGGAAATCCAAGACCTGAAAGTCCAGTGGACATTGTTGTGTTGTTGTTATGTGCCATTGAGTTGCTTACGACTCATAGTGACCCTGTGTACAACAGCCCTAAACCCTGCTCTGTCCTGTGCCAGTCGCACTGCCTCCAACACACCCACCGCCATTACCCCAGTCACGGAATCAAACCACGTCATAGAGGGTCTTCCCTCCTGCGCTGTCCTTCCACTCTCCCAAGCATGATGTCCCTCTCAAGGACCGGTCCCTCCTTACACCATGTCCAAAGTATGTCAGATGAAACCTCAGAATCCTTGCCTCCAAAGAACAGCCTGATTTAACCTTCTCCTGGATGAACCTGTTGGTTTTCTTAGCAGTCCACGGTACATTCAATACTCTTCTCCAGCACCACAACTCAAAGACATCAATTCTCCTTCTAGACTCCCTAGTCATTGTCCAACTCTCTAATGCATAACAGCTGATTCTACAGACAGTGGCCTATATCAGGCACACCTTAGTCTCCATAGTGACACCATTGTTCTTCAGTACTTTGGAGAGGTCCCTAACAGCCAACTTTCCCATGGCAATATGTCTTTTCATTTCCTGGCTGCTGGTACCAAGAGTGTTGACTGTGGAGCCAAGCAGACTAAAGCTGTGAACAGTGGGCATAGATACTGGAATGACCAGGATGGTGGGTACATTATGAAGGTGAGGGTGGAACCCAGTGAAAAGTGTTTACTTGTGTGAGAGAGAATTAGAATGCTGGGGGTGGGGGGCAACAATAAAGAGTAGATGAGGACGATGTGGCGAAATATTATATTTTTGTCCTGGCAACTTGGGCAGCTCTTGACCCAGCCCTAACCCATCTGTCAGGATGTCCACTGGGGTGCACTGAAATTTATTATAAACCCGTGGTCAGGACCTCAAGGACAGGAGCACTGTTTTCTTTAACCCCAGATCTATCACTCGATCTCAAGCTTGGCAGGTAGAGCATACATGTCTTTGTGGGTTATCTGAGAAACTGGTGGTGGTGGTGGTTGTTATTGTGGTTGTGGTTGTTGTGGTGGTTGTGGTTGTTGTTGTTAGGTGCCACGGAGTCAGCGCCAACTCATAGTGAACAGCAGATCTGAACCCTTCCCTCTGCTGCACCGTCTTCATCGTCTCTGAGCTACTCAGGCCCTTTGTTCCAGTCACTATGTCATTTCATCTTGTTAAGGGTCTTCCTCTCTGTCTCTGACCCTCCACTTCCCCAACTTGATATTCTTTTCTAAGGTTTGAGTGGCCTCTTCGTGACACATGCTCAAAATATGTGAGACATAATTTCACCGTCTTTGCCTCCAAGGAACACTCTGGTTGCTTTTCCTCCAAGACAGACTTGTTTGTTCCCCTGGCAGTTTGTGGACTGTTCCCTACTCTTCCCTAACACAATTCAAAAGCATCAGTTCTTTTGTCATCTTTATTCATTGTCCAGCATTCACATACCTAGCAAATAATCAAAAAGCCTATGGCTTGGATCAGACACACCTTAAGTCTTTAAAGTGACATCTTTGGTCTGTAGCACTTTGGAGAAGTCCTTAACAGTAGATTTTTTTCTCTCAATGCAGTGCATCATTTTCTGTTTGGGGAAAGACTTTTAGGGGTTTGATCTCAGAGCAGACTCCACCGTCAGCCCGATGTGTGATACAGCTGAGCCTTTTACGAATTTTAAAGGGGAAATGGTCCAGGGAATGTTGACGTGGTGACAAGAAGCTTTACGGAAGTGGAAGGTGCCACAGAAAGAATTTGGGTTTTGGAGAGGAGGGATTGCAGGGCACCCTGGGAGGAAGTATGGCGTGAGCAAAGCAGACAGCACTCCCCAAGTGTATGGATTGCCAGTGGGATTCTGGCAAGTAGAGTTGGATTTGTTAGAGAAGAAAATTTGAATCTGATCCTCAAGGAACTTGGAAATAATTACAATTCCTAAGCCTACTTGACATACACTGTTTTCCCCCCATTGTACTTCTTTGACTGCCTTCATTTGTATTCAGAAATGGAAAGAGCTGTTGGTTCTTACGTTTTTCTTTTCCTCTTCTCACTGGGTCAGAAAAAGATCCAAATTTATTAAATATATAATGGGTATAAATATCTTCATGTTTACATCTTGACCCTGCACCTACATTGAAGAGGGGGTGTGTGTGCATGTGTGTGTGTGTGTGTGTGTGTGTGTGTGTGTGTGTGTGTGTGTGGTATGTAGGGTATAACAGGGGTCCCTGTTACCAGTTAACCAATAAATGACACATTTCAGTCATTAAACAGGAACAAAATGTGAAGTGACTCAGTCATTTACTTCCAAGCTTCATCACCTGAAGATGGAAGACCTCCGCCAGCAGAGCCAGGTCCAATTCTGCTCTTTCTATTTAAAAGATTATCTCAAGGAAATGTGTCTAATAACTTTTTGTCAGATATGGAGCCCCTTGTTGTAAAAAAGGAAGCAGGAAACGGCAGCTAAGGCTGTGCTTTAAATTTCCATTTCACATTTCTAGCAACTCACTGAGGCTTAAGTAATCCCATTTAATCCAATTTTGTGTCGTTTCCATATCATCGTGAGGTGACAGCCACCTGAGTCTCAGAAGCAAAAATATCACAAAATACAGGGCCATTCCCGGAAGAGTCCTGATTCTCAAGAAAGGGGAGGGTCACTGAGGTGTCCACTATGTTTCTTATGCAGACAGAGCATCTCCAAGCTTGCTTAATCAGAGTTGGAAATGAAGGGATGCTAGGGAGAAGCTGATATGTGATGGTTTTGATCTCAGATGATGTTTTCTGGAGGTATCTCCAGAGGTCTGAGAACTATCACCATCTCAAATCAGAAAGGATGGAGAAGCGGGGCTCATGCCTTTCCCCCCCCCATTATTTAAGCCAGTTACCAGCTCTCTGTCCAGGCAGGAGTGTGTATCCTGGAAGTTCTCTGAGGCTCACTTTGATAGAAGACTGTATCGGGATCAAAGATCTTCGGACAGATGGCCTGCAGCTGGTGGGGGTCTCCAATTGTACTTTGATCCCATTTTTTTAAAGGATATCTCAGAAGAGTTTATTGTATTGATACAGTTACAAGCTGTATAATCCTTCAACACATGATATATTTTAAGGCATGTTTTGACTGGAATGTGGTACAGAAAATTTCAGATAAGTAACAACTCTTAAAACTTGCCCAGCTTTTTTATGTGTCAGAAAAAGAAATGATGGCAGTATACATCACTCCTCCCCTCCTTTGGGAGAGAACTGTTTAAAAGGGACATAGGATTGGGTATTATTGTCATGGCAGGAGTCCAGAATGAAGGCTGCACAGTGCACTGGACTTGGGGAGAGGGATTGCATAACAATGAAAGTTTTCCTTTTACTTTTCAAGAAGAGAGAACTGGGGGTGGGCTATGGGGGCAGGGAGAAAAGTGCAACAATGAATGACTGGAAACCCTAAGTCTCTGTACTTTCATTAAAATTAATTTAAAACGAAAAAGCCATTCTTAAGCGTTGTTTAGATGCTCAGCAGAGCCTTTGTGCTGGTAGGTGGTAGAGTGCAGGACTGGGGTGGGGCCAGACTGGAGCCATTTGTTCTCAAGTCCTCTGTCCTCAAGTCCTCTGTCCATCTGCTTTTTAGCTGTCCTTTGATCTGAAATAGCACACCATCCCCTGTCTTGGGCAATTACCTCAGATGCTGGCCTTTGCAGAATTCTTCCAATGTCTTTGTATTAAGCCAAGTGTGCTCCTATAACATTTATAATAGGTGCCAGCTTCCACTAAGAGCACTCTTGGTGGGTCTCAGCAAAGTGGTTGGTAGCAGTTCTGCAAAGTTACATGACCATTGTTTTGTTT